TATGTTTGGTTAAGGGTTGAGGTTATGTGTGCAGGTGATGGGTATCAAGTGCGTGTGTGCAAGTTTGACCAAGATCACACCACCCAAGGCTAACCCTAAGGCCAACAGTCTTGTGGGAACTCCTCTTGAGCCCCCTATATTGGCTCCACCTACTAAGTGTCAGAGCTCAGAAACAACATGTAGAACTTCAAGATGAGCAAAAAAGAGTTTTAGAATCTATAATGATGAGGGTTCCTTTATTATTCCTCTAGGAATAGTCAACAGGAAAGTTTTATGACTAGATCCTAGGCATTCTAAAGAAGGGACTGGACCTCAACCAAAAGTGAGGTCAACACCTATGCGACAAACTCCTTGATTTTTCTTGATTTAGTCAAGCCTTGAATAAAACTTCTCAAATGATGGAGCTCCACAATATTATGGTCGTGATCTTTATCTATGGTATGTATTAAATTTATTGGGTCATGTAGTTGACCTCCTACATTCATCAAAGCAAGCCACTTGAAATATTTTTTATTTTATATAGCTTTTATGATCTTAATCATACAGATACTCAGTTAAGTCACTGTTGGTATAGGGTGAGCTGAAGATGATAGGCTCCTTCCTATTCTTTTGTCTTTGCATATCTTCAATTTGAGCTTTCCCTCAAAATGGACAAGTCATACATTTTTCAATAATCCTTCTCAAATTTCTTTCATTAGGACAATCTTAAATCTCCTAAAGTTTGTGAAAACAATTTCTCTAAAAAAAGCCACCACCCCTTATTCTTAACCATATATAAACTTGTTAGTGAGTTATAATCTTCAACATATGTTTAATTTTTTTTTAGCTTCAATAATTTAGCTAATGTCATCATATGAAACAATCTAATAGTTTAAAAATGGACCTTCTTGAATTCTTGAGCCAATGTAGTAACATGAACAAATGTTGGCTCCAAATTTCTTATTTCTAACGACTCAAAATGGAGGAGGAGGGTAATAAAAATCCTCAAAGACTCCCATTCTTGCCATAAAAAAAGCGACAAACTCTTTTTTAACCTTTGCCTCGCTCATAAATTAGTCATTTAATTTGCACTTAAACTCCTTGAAAAAATGATGTCTCTCTGATGGCAAATTATTGAACCATTTTAAGTTGATTCATTTAATCTAATAAAAAAAATCAAAACTTCAACATGTCATTAGTTTTTAATAACCATAGGATCGACGCAAAATAGAATGCATGATCAACTGGATCAAAATTTGCTTTATAAATCTCTAGAGATAAAATCATAAACCTCTATGCCTTGACCTACATAATTTACTTACTGAAATATTCTTTAACAATGGCCTCCTCTTCCTTTCTTGGATTCTTCCCACTCTCTTGTGATAAGAAGGAGAAAAATCTTTGTTATTTAGATAACAAGTCTTATTATCTTCAACCAACATAGATGGTTGGAGCTCTCCTTGCTCTTGCTCTGACATCTCTCATCTTTCGAACATCCAATTCCAAAGAAACAAATGTTAAATTTACTCACCTTTAGCCTTATCTTCATCACATCTTTGATTACCATTATCATATGTTCCCTTAGTTCATTTATGTGTTGCACAATGAACACTTTATTACACGTTATGTTTACATAATCTTCTTGAACATGTGGTTCTTTTCCATATAAAGCTCCTTTTCTAGTTTGTGGATGAATCTATAGTTTCTTCCTCTTAAAAGATGTTTGTTTCTGAAATATCAGTGGTCTCACACCACTTAGCTAAGAGCCTGTAATAAGAGAAAACTATATCAAATAATCTAAGAGAGAAAAAGAAAGCTATCTTAGATATGGAGAAGAAACATGACACATGTTACATTTAAAATGATTATTTTAGTTAAAGATATTAACCATTTGCATGACCTCTCTTGCTTATTCGCTTGGGTCAACAATAATGGCAATTACATAAGTGAATACAAAAAAAAAAAGAAAAAAAATTAAAATAATAATAATGACAGAATATGATTAATTCATTACAATAATTGCTTTAACTAAACATGTTGATTGAACTTATATTTTTCTTATCAACTCACTAAAATTTTATGTTTTTAATGAATCATGAAAATTATGTTTGTTGGTGTAAGCTTATTTCATATATTATTTTCTTAGCCAAAACATTCAAATTTGTATAAATTGTATCAAAGAGAAATCAAGCCCTCAAAAAATTAATAACTTTACTTTGATAAACTCTACAACAATATAGAAATATAGTAACATATATCTAAATCAATATAGATACCTCTTTTTCAACAACTCTGAGAATGTTTATCAATACGTTGATCCCTTTTTAACATAAAAAATGCAAATATTAATACTCAAGATGAATCAAGCTTTCTCTTAGGGTTTTAATAAGCATATCAACATTAGAAATTTGATTTGATTGTTAGTGTATTTCTCATTTTATATTTGTGATAGTTGACTCTGTTACATGAATTTTTATTTATTTTTTTCTTGTTGAGAATTTAAACCTTGAAGTTATCCTCAAAGCTATGAAACGACTATTATTAGTTATGATAAACTAGAGTGACATATTTAAGTATAAAAATTGTTCCTTCATCTCTCTCAACTCCTTAACATAAAATGTACACATATAATATCACTATTATAACTATTATGATTGATAGTTCTAAAGAAAGGCTTCAATCATTTCATACTTTAGAAACTTTATGTACAGTTTAATAACAACCAACTCAAAAGGATATTAGTTGGCTCACCACTTGAGCTATTAAAATTGTTGAAGATGCTCTAATGAAAAAGCTATCATTTGCCATTTAGTAAAAAAACAATAAACAAAAAATGGGTAGGAAAAAAAATATTTTTTGAGGCTTTATATTACAAAAGCTCTCCATAAATAATTTTTAATCTCTAATGCTCTTGAATGGGCAAAATGTTTTTTGTTAGATATGCCTTGTCTGTTTTCACTTATTTGATTGGCTTTTTGAACTTTTTTACTAAGTTGTCATATATATTAGTGATAATTATAAAGTTTTAACACAAAATATCAAGTTGTTGAAAGTAATGCAAAGCAAGAAAATGCATGATGATTTTACTAGATAACAAAAATTACTTGGTATTGTAAATTTCTTTACGAGGGTTGAAAAATATAAAAATTGCTAAACTTTAAGATAAAACAATATATATGATAGGTTTGGTAGGTGAATAAATGATTCAAATTCATTTTACAGGCTAAAAGTTTATGAGGAATTTTTTATGAGCTAGTAAAATATACATCGAGTGCCACACGCACACACACCTATACATACATATTATACCATAATATGAATGCATGGCTTATGACTACTTCATTTATTATATGATCTGCATGCTTTTTTGGTGCATAAATTCTAAAAAATGAAATAATTATATTTATATAAATGTTTTGTTATTCTTAAACACCAACTGAGATTATATTTTTAATGGATAATAAGTTGAACTTCTTTCAAATGATATATATTTTTTTTGAACTCTTACAAAACTACTTTGAGATATTGGAGTTAACCAACAAAAATTGTAAGTTTTTTGGTTCAAATTTATTTTATATGATAAAATTTTATTAGCCAATAACTTACATGTGCTATATTTAGTTTTCATAATAAGGAGATTAGGTGTATTCAATTTAGAAGTAATTTTCATCTAACAATTTGTTTAATAACTTATTAGAAAAAAAATGATTAGATAAAATTTACAAACACGAATAAAAAAAACATGAATTTTATATTTTAATTGCTATATAATTATTATACATAATTTTTTTTTGTTGCATATATGTCCCACAATTATTATGTATTTATGTATCTAAAACTCAAATTTTGATTTTATATTTGCAGTGATATGAAATATCTATGTGATATAAGTATAATAATTAAAATTTAGATTTAGATATGCTAAAACATAAAAATTGGAGTTAGATTTTAGATACCTCAAAACATAAGAATTGGTGGTATGTATCTAAATGCTGCTATCTCTTTATCTCTCTACGCTCCAAAACCCTCACCTACGTTGCCTTCATGACCGAGCCCTCACGGTTGCCAGAGCTAGCTGAGAAGCAAATTACGGGATCGAGACAAACCAATTGAGGAATGTAACTCCACACCCTTGTTTTGGTGTGACACGTGAGTTTTCTGATTCACTAAATGTCCATTTGTGATAGCTTTCTGTCTGCTTTGTTTTTAAGACTGCCACCAAAGTTCTGTTTTGAAAACTACTTTTTTGTTATTTTTATAAATTTATATGATAGATAACTGTTTTTTTTTTTAATTTGGGTTACTAAAGCGTGGTAGTTGTCAAAAAAGCTACGGTCTAATTTTTTGAAAATAAAATAAATTTATAATAGTCATTATAATTTTTAGAAGGTCTTCAAACAACTGCAACTAAATCAGCCCAAGAGTAAGATTTAATAGGCCTAAATCAATGAAATTCAGATTTATCAAATTTGCTGATTTATTTTCCAAACAGACAATTCCCTTAAAGGGTGTTTGGCTGCAAGTAGGATTTAAATTAAATAAGATTTACTAAATCGATAAATTCAGATTTATTAAATCAAAAATTATGTTTGGTTTAATTAAGATTAAATCCAATGAAATTCATTTGATGTGTTCGACACATGAATATAATTAAATATATTTTTTTCTATGCTAAATCACTTAAATTCAATTTATAAGTTGATTTGGTAAATAGTAAATTAATAAATGAAAGCAGTAAAAATTAAATTTATTTGTTGTGTTTGTCTGAATTTAAATTAAATCTAGCTTATCTCTTTAACTAAAACCCTAACCGCCTTCTCCGCCGCCTGCTCCAACCAGGAAAAACGTCAACACCGGCTGCTTCCAGGCAGGGAATTCCCCTTCCTTTACCCGAGTATCTTCTATGGAGGATGTTTGCGAAGGCAAAGACTTCTCTTTCCTATATTGGCAAACACATTTATTTTCTTTTTTCCTCTTGAATGTTGTAGTAGGCTTCAAATAATATATTTAGTTATTGTTCCTTTTTTTTATTTTATCAATGTGTTCTGTTTTAGTAAAGAGCTGCGGGGAGGTTGATTGGCGTCAACATCTCGGAGGATCTATGGGCGGTTTTAGGGTAAGCCAGAGAAAATGAGTAACAGTCACCCTTTTTTTTCCATAACAAGTCCAGCTTCTCTCCCTCTAGAATTTTTTTAAAGTGTTCTTCTTGCCCAAAAAACATCTCATCTTTCTGTTTATGAATAATATTATTTAAGCGTATATTATATTTTAACATTGAAATCTATCCATTTTGCTTTTGATTTCAGTTTCATCAGTACCAAGTGGTTGGCCGTGCCCTTCCGACGCCAAGCGATGAACATCCAAAGATTTATCGCATGAAGCTATGGGCTACTAATGAAGTTAGGGCTAAATCCAAGTTCTGGTAGGCAGACCCACCTTTTTGTCTAGTGCTAAAGTTTTGTCGACATTTAATAATTTTTATGTTGATTTGGCTCTCATTTTTCCTTGAAACAGGTATTTCTTGAGAAAATTGAAGAAAGTGAAGAAAAGCAACGGCCAAGTTCTGGCTATTAACGAGGTTCGTTTAATTGTCACATTGAAATAGTAAGTTTATTTGTACTATTGACGAACTTATTTTACTTCTTGTTGTTGTATGGTAAGCTTTATGTTATTGTGATGCTATGATTCAACATAAGTTTTACTATTGACGAACTTATTTTACTTCTTGTTGTCTTTTGGTAAGCTTTATGTTATTGTGATGCTATGATTCAATAAAAAGTTCACTAATGCTTTAAATTAGAAGATGGAGTATGCTTACTTTTAATGTTACCTTAAAAACTGTATCAATTGCTTTCCCTATGCTGTTTTTTTGTTTGTTTGTTTTTTTTAATATTTTCTAATGACGGGGAATTTTTAGAGTATGGAAACTTTAATCTATGTGCTCTACTCCATGTTGTTCTGGAATCATGAATATTACATGGCTCGACTTTTGAATTATTTTTTCTGGTCGAAAAGGACCTAGGAAGGGGTGGTTTCTATGACAGGATGTTCTGCACCCAAGATTGTTAATCCCCGGAGCCAATTACTTTAAAAATAAAAAGAAAACAAAATGAAATAAAATTAAACCTATTGTAATAAAATGCAGAAAATCACTCTTGTGGACTAATAGTGCGTTTGGGGCAGTGGTATGGTGGTAGTGCAGTACTGAACCGTAGTTTTTTTTTATTTGGCGAAACAACATTTTAAAAAACTGCAGCTGAAAACTACGCTTTTCCACCAGATCTGGCTACCTACGGTGGCTGCTAGAAAGCTGTGGTCTGACTTTTTCAATTTTTTTTATAATAGCCACCCCAAATTTTTTTACAGTAGCTTCTTTTTCAGCAATTTCCTAGGAGTTGTTATGCAGAGTGATTTATGTATTGTTGATGTTTTTGGTTGCATATCGATCCCAAACACAACCTCTCTTTCAAGTGACAAAACTTTGTAATAATTGATAATTTCTCAGAAAAATTTGTAACAACTAGAATATTCTTTATTTCTTACACTTTTATTTAACATCTTAATCTTTTAGAAAAATTTTAATTCACCATGTTGATTATTTCTCAATTTTATTTTGCTGGTCAAACGTCGAAAGAAGATATAACATTCTTATCATTAGAAAAGTACAATGATTTCCAACAATGCACATTAAACTTCACACTTTTTTTCTAGTTTTATATTGTAGCAAAATTTGATAAATCCACAATTTATTTTATTTGTGGGTGATTAGGTTGCTGTTGAGTTTTAGCTGGATCCTTCTGTGTCTAATTGCATCAAACGAATTATGTTTCATGATCACTTCACATTAAATAAGTTAGATCATCTACTTCAGTTCTTGTTTTAGTGTTGCTTTTTATATTGATTTAGTGTTGAAAAATGGGAGAGAACTTGTTTATGTCAGAAATTTACATGCTATAGGAAGATGGAAATTAAGATGAGTCCGTTAGCTTGAAGTATATTTTAAGCTTTTCAGATATTTGAAGAATAATAGCTGTATTAATTAAACTATGTTGATAATTTTAATCTTCATTTACTTTTTCCAAGTTTGAATATGATCTTGTGGACAATGTCTGTCCTTTACTTTTGCTACTTTTTATGTTGGAAATACTTGTATATTTTGATGAGAAGCCCAACAGCTAATGTATCCTTGTACTTTTTTAAAATTTTCTTCTAATTTATATAGCTAGTTATCTTTTAATTTTGTGCCTCTTGTTAAAAATGACTAACAGGTTAGAGACAAGGTGACGGGCGCTATTTTCATTGTTGCAGAATCTAGATTGTCTGAGCTTCCTAGTAAGAAAACTAAAACAGATAGATTGGTTAATTCAATGCAAAAACTCTCAGTTGCCAACACTGAGAGCAAGGGGTTCATGGCTGATAAAACTCAACACAAAAAAGATTCTGGTTCCTATGAGTTGTTGGAGAAATTATCAGGATCTTCGCTTGTGGGTATCAAGTAAGCTTTGATTTGTTATTTCACTTCCAATATATGTTTGTAAGACTTACATGCATACCACATAACCAATCAAGTCTTATGTATTTACATATCTAACACCTAAGCTTCAATTTTTACATACATTCCATCTTATCTATGCATAAAAAGGTATATTTCACTTTTTAAGAAGCTAAAAAATGTTAGTTTTTTATGTGATATGAAAGATTCTTGTGGAATAAATGTAAAAAGCATAATTTAGGTGTTTGATATGTAAATCCATATGAATTGGGTGTTATGTTTGTAAATGCCTTGTATTTTTTTTTTCGTTCATTGGAAAGTGTATTTTTTTTTTGGTTCATTGGAATGTTTATGAAGTTTTGCTATGTTTGAATGCTGTCATTGCCGATCCCAGGCCTGGATGTGAAAAGTGGGGTTGCGTCAGGTAGTCGACAACCAACGTAAAACTTGTCAAAAAAATCATGACACGAATCATTTTGATCATTGTGTAAGTGCTAGGGCGTCCCCTGGAAGCGACGTGTTGTATTACATGAATACAGTGAAAAGTGTGTAAGGGCCGCTAAACCGACGCCCGGGTGTAGTGTCAAATAAGCCAGAGTTCTCACATTACGGACAAATGCGGGTAAAAAAATTAGTCCATGAAACTAATGAAATTAATGTTAGGATAAGATCTTGAAATATATGTACTCTCAATGGTAAATTAATAAAATTAGTTGACATTATAATTCATAGAAAGATTAATATCTATGTATTCAAGAAACAAAATGGGTTGGATAAAAGGCTAAGAGATTGATAACTTAGGTTTTAAACTTTGGTATTCTAGTAAGAGTCGCGGTATAAATTGTGTAGGTGTAATTATAAACAAGAGTTTGAAAGATAATATTGTAAAAATTAATAGAGTTGGAGATAGAATTATAACCCTTAAGATTATTATTGATACTAAGATTTTTAATATTATAAGTGCTTATGCTCTTCAAGTTGGTTTAGATATAGGGTTTAAAGATAAATTCTGAAATGACCTAGAAGACTCAATACAAATGATACCTTTTGAAGAAAGAACTTTTATTATAGGAGATTTAAATGAACATGTTGATAGTGATAGAAGATTTCAGAAATATTCATGGTGGCTACGGTTTTGGAATGACTAATGAAGAAGGTAGAACCATTTTAGATTTTGCTTTAGTGTATGATTTTGTTATTACTAATACTCTATTCAAGAAAAGAGATGAGTATTTTATTTCTTATAAAAATGAATCTAATAAAACACAAATTGATTATTTTCTTGTGAGAATAAGAGATCGTTGAGATTGTAAAAATTGTAAGGTTCTTCCAAGTGAGAATTTAAGTACCGAACATCGATTATTAGTTCTAGATTTTAAGATGAAGAGTTGTAAAATAAATAATACTAGGATTCATTATCATAGATTAGATGGGGGAACCTAAAAGACAAATAAAATTATTTTTATGAGTAAAATTCAAGATTTCAAAATTTGGGATGTGCTTGAAGAAACAAATGCTATGTGGAATAAAATAAAAAATACTATTAAACACGTAGCAAAAGATGTACTTCGAGAATCAAATGAAAAAGTGTCTATAAATAAAAATAGTTGATGATGGAATAATAATGCAAGAAAAGATAAAATATAAAAAGTTATGTTATAAAAATTGGTTTAAATGTAAAAGCTTAGAGAACTGAGAAAAATATCAAACGACTGCAATGAGTCTAAAAGAATAATCAGTGATGCTAAAAATTGTGCTTTTAGTGATCTTTATAATATATTAGATGCTAAGGAGGGTGAAAAATATTTGTATAAACTAGCCAAACAAAAAGAAAAAAAAGTAAAGATTTAAGTCAAGTAAAGTGTATTATAGATGAAAATCAAAAATTATTTTCTTAGAAAAAGGATATTCAACATAGGTGGATGAGTTATTTTGATAAACTATTTAATGAAGGTTCTAAAAATATGATTGATCTTAGTGATCTCAATATCGTTAATAATAATAAAACGTACCGCCGCATTAGTAAAAAAGAAGTTGAGGTTTTAAAGAAAACTAAGAGTGGAAAGTCTGTAGGACCTGATGATATCCCAATTGAAGTGTGAAAATATTTAGAATATTTGGGAGTTTCTTGGCTTACTAAACTCTTTAATATTATTTTAAGAACTAAAAAATGCCTGAGGAGTGGAGGAATAATTTTTTGGTCCCCATTTTTAAGAATGAAGGGGATGCACAAGTGTGTGCAAATTATAGAGGAATTAAGTTGATGTGTCATACTTTAAAATTATAGGAGAGGGTAATTGAACATAGGTTAAGATGTAATACAAAGATTTCTCATAATCAATTTGGATTTATGCCAGGCAAGTCTACTATGGAAGTTATACATTTATTAAGAGGTTTGATGGAGAAGTACAAAGAGAATAAGGAGGATCTACGTATGATTTTTATTGATTTAGAAAAAGCTTACTATA